TAGGTGGATGGATTTACATCTGGGTTCTCAATTCTGTTCCACTGGTCATTGTATCTGTCATTGTACCAGTACCAGGTTGTTTTGACTACCATAGCTGTATAGCAGGTTCTAAGGTAAGATAGTGTGAGTCTTCCTACTTTCTTCTTTTTCTTCAATAGTGCTTTACTTATCCGGGGTCTCTTCCCTTTCCATATAAAGTTAATGATTGTTTTTTTCCATCTCTTTAAAAAATACTGTTGGTATTTGGCTCATGATTGTATTGTATTTGCCAACTGCTTTGTGTAGAATTGTCATTTTCACAATATTGAGTCTACCTATCCATGAGCATGGTATGTTTTTCCATTTACGTAGATCTCTTTTGGTTTCTTGCAGTAGTGTTATTAGTTTTCTTTGTATAGGTCTTTTACATCCCTGGTTAGATTTATTCCTAAGTATTTTTTTTTTTAGGGGCTATTATAAATGGTATTGTTTTCCTGATTTCCTTTTCATCTTTCTCTTTATTGGTGTATAGGAAGCCAACCGATTTTTGTATGTTTATCTTGTATCCTGCTACTCTGCTGAATCTTTCTATTAGTTCCAGCAGTTTTCTTGTGGAGTCTTTTCGGTTTTCTATGTATAGTATCACATCATCCACAAATAGGGACAGTTTAACTTCTTCATTACTAATTTGGATGCCCTTTATTTCTTTTTCTTGCCTTATTGCTCTAGCTAGGACTTCCCACACAATGTTAAATAGGAGTGGTGATAAAGAGCATCTTTGTCTTCTTTCTCTTCTCAAGGAAAATGTTTTCAGCCTCTCTCCATTAAGAATGATACCAGCTGTTGGTTTTGCATAGATTCCTTTTATTATATTGAGAAATTTCCCTTCTATACCTATTTTATTGAGAGTTTTTATCAGGAATGGGTGTTGGACTTTGTCGAATGCCTTTTCTGCATCAGTTGAGATGATCATGTGATTCTTTTCTTTCCTTTTATTTATGTGGTGGATTACGTTGATTGATTTTGTAATGTTGAACCACCCTTGCATAACTGGTATGAATCCTACTTGGTTGTGGTGTATTTTTTTTTTTATATGATGCTGAATTCTACTGGCTAGAATTTTGTTGAGAATTTTTGCATCCATATTCATGAGAGATATTGGTCTATAATTTTGTTTTTTTGTGGTATCTCTGCCTGGTTTTGGTATCAGGGTTATGCTGGCTTCACAGAATGAATTCGGAAGTGTCACTTCCTTTTCTATGTTCTGAAATAGTCTGAGTAGTACTGGTACAAGCTCTTCTCTGAATGTTTGGTAGAATTCTCCAGTGAAGCCATCTGGGACAGGGCTTTTTTTTTTGCTGGAAGTTTTTTTATTACCTTTTCAATCTCTTCTCTTGTTATGGGTCTGTTCAGATTTTCAACATCACTTTGTTTTAGTTTGGGTAGGTAGTGTATTTCTGGAAATTTTCCATTTCCTCTAAGTTTTCAAATTTGTTGGAGTATAGTTTTTCATAATACTCTGTTATGATCATTTTTATTTCAGTCAGATCTGTTGTAATGTCCCCCATTTCATTTCTTATTTGGGTTATTTGTGTCCTCTCCTGTTTTTCTTTTGTCAGTCTGGACAGTGGTCTGTCAATTTTGTTAATCCTTTCCAAGAACCAACTTTTGGTTTTGTTGATTCTTTCTATTGTTTTTCTATTCTCTATTTCATTTATGTCTGCTCTGATCTTTATTATTTCCTTTGTTCTAGTGGCTGTGGCCTTTTTTGCTGTTCTCTTTCTATTTGTTTGAGTTGTATAGTTAATGTTTTGATTTTGTCCTTTCTTTTCTGATGTGTGCATCTATTGCTATAAATTGTCCTCTGAGGAATGCCTTTGCTTCATCCCAAAGGTTTTGGTATGATGTGTTTTCATTCTTGTTTGAGTCTAGGAATTTTTTGCAGTCATCTCTGATTTCTTCTATTACCCAGTGGTTTTTAAGCACGGTGTTATTCAGTTTCCATGTAATTGATTTTTTTGCTTTGCTCTTCCTGTTGTGAATTTCCACCTTGATAGCACTGTGATCAGAGAAGATACTTTGTATTATCTCAATGTATCAGATTTTGTTGAGGGTTGCTCTGTGGCCTAAGATGTGGTCTATTCTGGAGAACGTTCCATGTGTGTTGGAAAAGAGTGTGTAATTTGCAGCTGTTGGGCGGAGTGTTCTATATATGTCTATGAGGTCAAGTTGGCTGATTGTGACTTTTAGGTCTTCTGTATCTTTGCTGAGTTTCTTTCTAGATGTTCTGTCCTTTACCAAGAGTGGTGTGTTGAAGTTTCCGACTATTATTGTGGAACTGTCAATTTCTCTTTTCAGTCCTGTTAGAGTTTGTTTTATGTATTTTGGAGCTCCATCATCAGATGTGTAGATGTTTATTATGGTTATGACTTCATGATGGATCATCCCTTGAATCATTATATAGTGCCCTTCTTTGTTTTTTATGGTGGATTTTGTTTTAAAGTCTGTTTTATCTGAGATTAGTATTGCCACTCTGCTCTTTTTGGTGCCTGTTTGCTTGATACATTTTTTTCCATCCTTTGATTTTTGATAAATTTATGTTCTTTCTAAACTGTGTCTCTTATAGACAGCATATTGATAGATCCTGTTTTTTAATCCATTCTGTCACTCTCTGTCTCTTTATGGGTGCATTTAGGCCGTTTACATTAAGTGTAATTGTTGATAGGTGTGAGTTTACTGCTATTATTTTGTAGTGCTTTTTTTTTTTTTTTTTTGTGGTGCTGACGTTTTCTTTGTTCCTCTTACTCTCCTGTGCTGAATTCCTTTCGTTTGTGGATTTTTTTTTCATTTCTTTTGTTTTTGTAGATTTTGTTTTTACTGAGACTTTAAGTTTTTCTTCTTTATTTTGATGAGTAGGTTTGTTAACTTTCTTTGTGGTTACCTTGAAATTTACCTGTATCTTCCTAGGTCTGAACCAGTCTATTATTACTTGGTATAGTCTTGCCTTCCTCTCCATTAGAAGGTTCTATACCTATACTATTTATTCCCTATTTTATTGTTCTCGTGTTGTTATTTACAGATTAACTTCCCTGGTTCCCTGTTATAATGCTTTTAGTTTTGGATATTCCTTGAAAGTTTATTTCCTAGGTTGGTATCTGGCTTGTACAATCTTGCATCCTAGA